AGGGCTGCTGGAAGTGAGTCACCAACAGGGGAATACCACACATATTTGGGGGGGGAAATCAAATAAAACTAGCCAGGCCTCTGTTTCATTGGACCTCGGGACCCTGACCGAGCTGAGCCGAGCTTGCCCTGTCTCCACTGGGGTCCCTGGGAAAGGCATTTGGGATCCTTCAGAACACGGCAGTTTGCCCCGGACTTTCCTGCCGGGAAACTGCGTGGAGCACAGCACTCCGGAGCAGAGGAGCGTCCAGGTATCCCGTAAAAGCAGAAGCAGAACCTCTGGCTGGGGGTTGTCCTTTTACTTATTCCTAACAATGAACTTCCTGCTGTGGCTCCAGGCCTGTCTCGGGGTGCCACCATGAACTTCTCCATTGTCAAGGCTGCAGGCTGATCTCAGGGGCAGGGCGTTTGTGGGAAAGCCAGACAGGTGCCAAGACAGTAGAATAACCCAGGGATTCTAAAAATAGCACGAGGACACCGCCATGCCCAGGACGCCGGGGTAAAGTGTGTTCACTCTTCAGGGCACCTGAGCAGAAATCTTTCCAGGGAGGTCCCCAGGCAGCTGCCCCTGCAAGGCCTGGGTGCTTGTCAGGAATGCGCAGTGGCAGGGGGTGAGGCCCTGGGGTGAGGCTCTGGGGAGGAGGCGCGCCCCTGGTCTCTGGGAGCCCTCCAGCTGAGCCGGCTGAGCACCCCTAAAAGACTGGTTGGGAAGGCCATTGATTGCCCTTTAAGATTCACTGAGGCTCACAAAGGTGTCTCCACAGGCACATGGCTTTGGGCTCAGTGTTGCGGTCAACAGGTGTAAAAGCTAAGAAAGTACAAGCATCTTTCATGTGTATGTCTCCTAATGCCTGGCATTCGGCGTAACAGTTTATGACCCAGAGGCAGGAGGAGAAAGCTTGTGATTGTCCCGTTGGTAGAGCCCAGGAGTAGTCGGTGCAAAGACACCACCTCAGGGTCTGCTGCCTCCCGTCCAACGCCAGAGGAGCCAGCTGGGCAGCTGCGAATGTCAGTTCTGCGTGCAGATGGCCATTCCCGCACTGCCCAGCGATCGTTTTCCCTCACTCTCTAGGCCCAATGTTATTCACCTACTTTCTCTATAGGATGCTATATCGGGCTTTCCCAGAATCATCTCTTCCCCTTGCCCCCCCATCCAAAGTCTTCCTACACGGAAAATTCCAGAAGCTTTACAGCACAGCCCGGGACTGGTCCTGGGCTCTCAGTCACAACCAGTCCAGACTAGTGCCTCAGAAAAGCTTTCATTACCAAGGAAAACAATCCCTCCACAGTACCAGTCACTAAGGGGTAAGGAACATGCTGAGTGGTTGGTAGCTGAGCCCGAACTAAAAAGTGCAAATGAGATCAAGCCACCCAATGAGCACAGCCCCCAGTCGCCGACCCGCCCATCCAGGCTGGAGTGGGTGGAGACCCTTCCTGCCCCTTGTCCCCGTGGGCGCTGGGTGCCTGCCGGCCTCGCTGCCCACCTGTGGCTACACCACCCAAGCACCCAGCGCCCCAGAGCCAGGGCCACCTTCCGAGGCCACGCCCAGGAGGTTTTCTCCGGCGACGCCAAATAAGGCGCAGCCTCTGAGAAAGGCCCACACACATTCAAAATGACAAGTACTTTTCTAAAATTTAAACCGGGAGGTAAAAGCTCTGCATAATTTTTTTCAAAAAACAAATGAAAAAAGTACTCAGTAGAATTTTTTAAAAAAGTAAACTAGAGGAAAGATCTCTTTTAAAGCCATTTAAAAAGCATGAAGCTAACTAAACATTTTTTATAGTCTCTACTTTCTTATTTAGATTTTTTTTTGCAAATGCCACACATGAATTTTGTAGACTGCTAACAAAGAACCTCAGTTTTCATAATTTTCTCTTTTAAAAAAATCTGCTGAACTATATTGTAGTTAACTGATTTTAAGGCGTACTTTTTGACATGGTGTTTTGTGTGTGTGTGTGTGTGCAATATTTTGGGCCAAAATATCATTAGAAAGGAAGGATTCTTTAGTTCTTAAAGTGAGAGATATAAGTTGGCACATTGCCCCTGACGCTGTGGTCCCTTGGCCATCAATTTACAGATTCTAATCGCCTGATTGCAGGATGTTTTATTTCCATTCTTCATCTTGATCTCAGTAAGTGGGGAAGGCAGTTTTAAAAGAACATTTTGTTCTAGCCTTTCTAATTTTTAAGCCAGCTTTCTGAAAACACAGAATTCTTCAAATACTATTTTCTGCAATTTTGTATTTGGCTATTTTATATTCCAACACAAAGATAAATTAATTATCTCAAAGATCTGAGAGGCAGGTTTTAATGTGCCCCACGGCAGAAATGCAAGCACTTGTGCGCACAGAGCACAAGAAGCCCGGGAGATGCGAGGACACTGCAGTGTTTCTGGGGTGCTGTGGTCCCAGCAAACCCGGAGAAGTTCAGGTAACCCTCATGCAATAGTGTGAGTTTGAGTTTGGCTGGAGGACAGCCCCTGTCCTGCCAGGAAGAAAGAAATGGCCTTTGAGGACGTGGACTGGACTTACTGTACCCCAGACCGAGTCCACACCTGCCCTCTCCCGGGGACAGCCTCTGTGGGTCCTGGGCTCGAAGAGTCGGAAAGTCTCTTTCAGCCCCCACACCCCAGAGACTTTCCTCGAAGTTTCTCAGAGGAGAGGCAGACAAGGAGTTTCACTGCTAATTCACTAGGACCAGTGTCACCATACAAAAAGGATTGGGCCGATTCCCGAATCCCATGTTTGATCCGAGGACAGCAGTGAGTTCGAGTTCGTCTGATCCAAACTGGTCAGGACAGCAGCGAGTTTGTGGCAGAGCGAGGCCAAGCCTTGGGCTGCGGTTGACACCACTGCCCCCTCGGTGCTTTATTCTAAGCGCCGGTTACCAGGCCTCTGCCCCCGCCCAGCCTGGGCCTGGGACACAGACGTCCCAGCCCCCAGGGTCTGGTGGAGCTAGAGGATCTGGGATGGGAACAACCGGGGCTTTCCTCCTCCAGGAAGAGGGTGGGGCTCAAGGCTGTGGACCGAGGAGGTGGGGAGATGGGCAGGCGTGTCTGTGGCTCCAGGTCACCGGAGAAGGCACCGCCTAGGACTCGGGATGCCGAGACCTGTCGTCTCAAGCTGGTCTCACATGAGGCTTCCTTACTTTGGGCCAAACTAGAGAGTCCAAGAGCCGAATCCTAGAGCGCCGATATTAACACAAGTCTGCTGATCCCATGGGCAAGGACGGAGGCGCTCCTCCCACCATTCTCACCCCAGTGACACACACGTGCCTGCTGCCCTGCTGCACACCGTAGTGACACACTCTCCTGCTATTGTCCAGCAGACAGCACGCAAGTGTGCTCTGTCCCCACCACCCCACGCCACAGTGGGAGCCAGGAGCCGGACACACAGCACTAAGGATGGGCACTGTCCCCTCAGTCGGCCACCTGGGCAGCTGCCGAGGGCGGCTGTCCACCAGTTTCAAAACTTACTTACTGATTAGGCGATAACTGTCCAGCTCTCCCAGGGGCACCAAGGGGGGAACTTCCTTCTACAACTTCTCATCAGAGGGCTCGTCTACAAGAACAGCCCAAAGACATTCCTGCTTTAAAAAGCAGCCAAGCCCTGACTTACTCCTTTCTGTTGTGCCTACTAATGACTTCCAAGCCCAGAGAGCGCGGCCCCTCCCTCCCTTGCTAAAGCGGGTGTGGTAGGTTGAAAGAAGAATACGCACCAGTGGAAAATGCTAACCTGTCCGGGTGACGGGTTTGCAGGTCATGAACCTTCAACCTCTGTGTTTCTCAAAGATGATGTAAATGGTATTCTGTGTATTTTCATTCACGAAACTGAAGTTTCAGGACCGTGCACGAAGTCTGCCTCTAAGGGTCAGAAAAAACCAAAAAACAAAAGAGGGATAAAAAACTAGATTAGAGGGTAGTTTTAATTCAATATAATTGATAGCATTTGCATTTTAATCATTTTTTCGAGATGTCCAAAGTTACCACATCATTAACAAACATAAAATCTATTACTTTACTTTTCAAAAGAGTTGTTACTGAAATGAATGTTTATGTCTCTTTCTTATTCTATTTTATGATAAATTTAAAGGCATGAACCTCTACCTGAGAAAAACACCTAGCCCCTAACAACAATTACATCTTACTTAAAAGTTCAAAAAATTTTAGAATTACATATCCAGTGGGAAATGACCCTTTTCTTATATTTGACTGACTTCCTCATTCTTCCACGTTGCCATCTGTCGACGGCTGAGGTTATAGTAAAGGGACGTTGTCCCCAAAGGAACCGAGAAGGGAAGTGACCGCCATGAAGAACCCGAGACCCAGACGCGAGCAGATGGCAGAGGGCGCCTTGGTGCCACTGCCCCGGGAAAGGCGGCAGGCGGCAGGTGGCAGGGCAGGGGACTCAGTGCAGGGAGAGGTCTCCACCTTCGCTCTGGGGCGAGTGCAGCTGGACCGGCAGACCACACTCGGTGACTGTGATTGTCCCTGAAAATGGCTTCAGCCATTCCAGTGGAAATAATGGGGAAATGACACAGGGCAAGTGTGTAGAATTTGGTCAGTGCTTCTCAAACGTTGTGGTTTCAGGAACGCTTTTTACAAAATTATTGCCAATTCTTAAGAGCTTAACTTATGTAAGTGATAGCTACCAATGTGTACCTTGGAATAAACTAAAGGTGAGAAAATTTTAATGCTAAATAGACACAAGCGTGCGTTCCTGCCGTACCAGAGCATCGTTATGACCCCGTGGACCCTCCCGAAAGGGTCTCGGGGACCTCCAGGCTCCCAGAATGCACACAGGGAACCGCTGCTGTAGAACGACCCCACGGACTTCTGTGAGCTCCTTCAAGGGCGCCCCCAGCTTGAGCTTGTCAGGAGAAGAGGCAGAAAGGACAGGCCCCTTGTCTCCCACCATTCGCCACTAGAGAACAGTTACATGTTTTTCATATTTTATTTATCAGAATTCTAGATACATGATCTTCCTTTGAATATAGGAGCCCATGAAAAAAATAAACAGTTTTAAATCACTGGTTGAATGTTTACGGTGGGGGACAGGGCATGACAGAAAGAAAAAACCTGAAGGGTTAGAGAATACAGTCTTCATTTAAAAAAAGGGGGGAGGGAATATTTCAATCGAAGATTGATGTTTTGATTGTAAGGGCAGCACAAACACTAAGTTTTTAGAAGAACCCCAAAAGCATATCAGATGAAAAACCATTCATGAAATACACATTAGCCAAGAGTATATTATAGTGATACATGTCCAGTAATGACTCTAGGTCAATGTATCTATTAGGAAATGGTTTGCTGAGCACCCTCTGCGTGCCCAGTCCTAGGCTAGGTCCAGCTACACGGCTTCCCTGTCTTTGTGCTTTACAGGCAGACGTGCACTTTGGGGTCTGGCTGCTTTCACTCGGTGTCTTTTTGGGAGACCCAACCCCGTTGTTGAACATATTTTTGGATCACATGTTCTTCCTGCTACATAACTCTGCCCTGTGTGGGTGCATCACGGTCTATGTTCTACTGTCAGGGCGTTTGAGTCACTTCAGAGAGAGCCTTTCAGCCATGGGAAAGTCCAGGCACACTCTGTTATCCAGAAGGAGGCAGCCGCAGGTGAAATCCACCATCTCCGTTCTCCTTGAACTTGGTCTGATCAAATGAAGTTTTTGTTTTCCATCCTTGTCAGCCTGAAAGCTGCTCTGTGAATTCAGTGTTAATTTTGACGAGAAGCTGGGGACAGAGAAGAGGTGCCTGTGATGACAAGTGTTCTAGGGGACTCTCCACCCAGTTCCCAAGGAAACAGACCAGGCTTTGGGGGGTGGCCATTTCCCCGTCGCACATCCCAGGTGTCCTGGAAAGATGATGTCCTGCACTCAGGTGGTGACAGAGGTAACAGATGGTGGGTGTGAGGGGAGACGGCACTCAAACAGGATACAAAAAGGGGGGGCTGAAATTACCACTGTAGAAAATAAAGTGATGTTTACATTCAGAATAACCCCCACTTGTAGTCACACATCCCACCTGTGACATTAGTCAGAGCCTTTACCTATGGCCATATGTCATCTTTTCCACCTCTAGTAGTTTACAGACTTTTTTTTCCTTTGCAATGGAAGAAGAAAAAAAGTGAAGAATCAGAGCTGCCCTAAAAGGAATGAGGAAGTAGGTGCTCTCCGTTCTGGCTCAGCCTGGGTGACAGCCCGTGATGCTCTTTCCGGCCCCCGGTCGGTTCCGAGTTTCCACCCCCTCACTTATAAGGCAGAACACGTGAAGTCGGAGCAGTCCAGCTCCTGCTCTCTGCCGGTGGGTCAGCAGGAGCTGTGTCAGGCTGCTTCTCCCGCTTCCCGCAGCTCCCAGAGGGAAAGGCACGCTGGCTGGGGGGCCCTCCCAGGGTAAGTGCCATAAACTCACCAGACGGGTGCTTCAGGGCATGTCGGCAGCTAGCAGGTCCCTGGTCTTTCAGCTCAGATCCGAAAGAAAACAGCTGCACAGTGGAATATGCAACAGGGTTATACAGATTCTGAACACGGGAAGCTTTGCTTCAAGGTGAAGCTTGTATGTGGGGGGGCACTGGACTTCTGTGAGTGTTCTCTTTGGTTTGAGTCTACTTGTAAGTGCATCCAGGAGTGAGTTTTTTCCTTGTCGGGTTAAATGAGCAATGTCTCGAGAGGCTCTTAATGGAATATCTGGCACATAGCAAGCTCTCTGTGCTCCCCACCAGAAACATTAGCTGTTATCAGACTTGTTTTTCAAATTATCTCTTGATGTAGTAAATGCACAACAACATTTGGCATGGGGACAATATCAGGTTTAACTAAGAAATGTGTGTTCAGAGGCTGTTTTTAATAGTGTAAGACATCCAGGAACACACAACTGTACTCTAAATGAAAACGTTTCTGCCCAATAGTTTCAAACTTTGTGTGCTGGTAAAGTGGCTCTGAAATTGGGCAACTTATCATGCGTGTCCCTCCTGACCCTGCCCCGTGTGCTTTCCCCGCAGGCAGAGCCCAGGCCACAGGGGAGTGACATTCGTCACTGGGCAGTCGGCTGAAGTTCTCATGAAGTTGATGAACAGCTGCAATGCCGTAGGTGCCCCCTCTGCCCTGTCTTCATTCATTAACTCTTGTTTTCTGGACTCAAGTCGAATGGTTGCCTAACTTAATTTTTCTTTTCTTTTAGTCAAAAACACTAAATGCCAGTAATATGGAGACATTAATTGAATGTCAGTCAGAGGTAAGAAAGCAATTTTTTTAGAAGTTTTCTTTATCTGCACTGGGAGACAGTGGAAAACTTTCTGTGTAGTGGAATATTGTTCAGCTTACTTAGTTATTAGAGTTAAAAATTAATATCATACATGCAGTATATTAAACACATCATGAGGATTTATATGAAACAATCAAGACTTTGCTATTAATTCTAGAAGCCGGAAAAATCAGCGGACTCTTACTGACTAATTTTTAACGTGAACAAAGTGTTACATGTGTGTTTTATGGGGAAAGCCTGGGCAGGTTTCTTCCCTCATTATTTTGAACTAAAATAAACGTATTTTTAGGGTGACATCAAGGAACACCCTCTGTTGGCATCATGCGAGAGTGAGGACAGCATCTGCCGGCTACTTGGTGAGTTTTGAAAACATGCTGGTCTTTTATGTCGGTGCTGACAACTGAATGTTCTTGGTTTGCAAAACCACAGGACTTCGGTCTACTAGGAATTTTTTTTTTTTTAGTGTTCTTTTAAAGACCGCAAAACATTAACACTTAAGTGGCAGGCTGGCTCCAGCTCCCTCGGGCACCAGGGTGCTCAGAGGGAACGGCCCCTCCCTGCAACCACCTCCCAGCTTTTCCGGTGGTTCTGGGGGGGGGGTCGGTGCGGTGACAGACCTCCTGGCTGCTGATGCTTTGACGATCAAAGCATGCATACACATGAAGGAGAACGCAATGCCTTTTCCATTTCCTCCCTTTTCTAGTGGAAAGTAGAAGAGCCCAGGTAGCTATCTCTGCTGGTACCAAATTCCAAAGAACCTATGGTTCACTTTTCATTTTTCTCACAGTGCTACCCTGACCCAGGGCTCCTGAACTAGGAGGACAACCACTCCTCCACCCATCCTCTTCCACTTGCCAGTATAAAATGTATAGAGACATACACCAATGCACTCAGAAAATACAGGTTTTATAATTAGGGGGGGAAAGGAGAAGGAAGGAGAAAAGAGAAAAAGAAGGGAAATTGTGAGAGGCAGTATTCATTGCACACACATCTTCAGGACTTTGCAAAGATAGAGCATCTTGGCAAGGCCTACTGATCACTTCCAATTGCAGAGCCCAGGCTCAGGCCTCTTGCAGCACAGTGGTCTCCCCAGACCTGCAGCTGAAACCCTGGCGGTGACTGCAGATGAGCTGAGTGATGTAGCTCCCTCTAGTGGCCAGCTGGTGCCAGCGTGGCTGCAGAGGTTGAACAGCCAGCCCTGCTAAGTGTCTTCAAAAGGATCCTCTTCAGCAAGTCACTTCCTCTCCTCCTAAGTTCCGTTTTCTTCACTAGTCAAAGGAACAAATTAAAATAATATATTAAACATCAAAGATGTCCACCCCAGTCAGGAAGGTCAATATGTTAAGATGGTTGCTTCTGACCGGCACAACGCGGCCAATTTTCTGCCGCAGACATCTGGTGAAGGGTAAAAACAGGAAAGGTGGAGACTTTGAACGCTGCTGTTGTTGTTTAGGGGTTGGTTGCCCCGGGAACAATGCGGCTGTTTCTAGGTTGGTTCTTTTGAGATTAAGAGGCACACCCTTTGCCTTCTCAGTTTTTTCAAAAGTGTTTCCCCCACATGGCACACCACAGAGGACACTCTGTGACCGACGATACCCCTGTCTCTCGTGGGCCTTCGTTTGTTAACATTTTAACTTAAATTTGCTCCTTGCCTTGTTGTCTCACTGCAGAAGTTAAGAAGAGGAAGAAGGTGATCTCCTGGCCCTTTCTCATGAGAAGGCTTTCTCCTTCATCAGATTTCTCTGGGGCTTCAGAGCCGGAGTTGAAAACGTCCCTTTTTGATCAGCCCTTGTCCATCATCTGTGGTGACGACGACACACTCCCCAGACCCATTCAGGTAGGCACACATTTGTCGGTAAACCTACTCGAGTTTTCCGCCAGATGTGAAAAAGCCTCGGGTAGCCCGAGTGCCATCCGCCAGCTGAACGTGCCGAGGCCAGTTGTTGGCACTGCCCCTTTTAGAAAAGGCATCCCACCTGCGAGTGCAGCCAGGACGACACCTGGCTGCGAGTATTTGCCCAGGAGCTCAGACTGGTGGTCACTCTATGCTTGACTTCATAGTGTTGAGAATGCTGAAAACGTGTGGCTTCTGAAAAATCAACAGTCCTAGGGGACAGCACACACAATCGTACCCCCACTGTTTCTATGGAACATTCCCAAGGAGGGAGGCCTGACATAATTTCAGAATGTTGAGAATTAGATCTTCCCCAACGTACTTCCTCTTAGCAAAACGGCAGGTTTGAGGGGGGCATTTGGTAGCAACCAGACCGAAAGGACAAACTGGCATTGGCAGTCCCTTGTTTAGACTAACCTAGTATCGTGGAGAACTAGCTCCCATGGAGAGGATATTTCGTGACAGGTAAAGTTAGCTGCTGTTCCTATGCGCTATTTTAGTTCTACAGATTTAGTCCTATACATGTTTCTATCCTGTTTTGGTTCTCCTTCTCCTACCTAGCAAAGTGTGTCTTCACGCCAAGGGTAACCATTTCCTATTCGCCTGCCTTTTCTTTGTAGGATATTCTCGCTATTCTGTGCCTCAAAGGCCCTTCCACCGAAGGGATATTCAGGAAAGCAGCCAATGAGAAAGCCCGCAAAGAGCTCAAGGAGGAGCTGAACTCCGGGGGCGTGGTGGAGCTGCACAGCCTCCCTGTGCACCTCCTGGCAGCCGTCTTTAAGGTGAGTTCCCAGCGTTGGTGCCAAAGAACCGCCCAGGGGCTCTAACGCATTAACTCTCTGGATGTGGGAAATGGGCTTTCTCTCTGAAGATCGAAGTCAACTGATCTCAGGGTTTAACTTTTATAGTTAAGCCTCTTCTTTGTTTATATAAACATCTGTGTTTCGGTGATCCCAGATTCCAGTAGAGAGCAAGGCATTAAATTCCCCCACAATTTTGATGAGAAAGGCACTCGGGTTGTCCCGTGGCCAAGTGCACACCCCTGAGTCTGGTGGCTCCTTGGATGGGAGCCTCACTGTGCCTGTTGTTAGGAAGCTGCTGAGAGACAATGAGAGAGAGAGAGACTGAGAGAGAGTTCCCCCAGTGAATCCAGTGCAGGAAGGAGGGGACACAGCCAGTGGCAGGATGGGCACAGACTCCCTGAGAGGGAACCAAGTTGAGATAAAGACGCCAGCACCCTGTGGGACACAGACAGGCCCAACCGTGCCCTCCCTTCCTCCTCCAGGACTTCCTCAGGGGCATCCCACGGAAGCTGCTGTCCTGGGACCTGTTTGAGGAGTGGATGGGCGCCCTGGAGATGCCGGACGAGGAGCACAGGATTGAGGCCCTGAAACGGTGAGTGGTCACAGCTGCTCCGGGGGCCTGGCCCCCTCGGCTCCATCTGTGCATTCGCTACGCACCGGTCAGCGTGTGCCATGAAACCTGGGACGACCAGGGGGTCAGAGTGGGATTGTGCATCTACTCCCAGAGTAAAAATCGGGAGTTAGCCTGGACATTTACAAAGAGTGTTTCAGCCAAATGAAAGGCAGTACTTTTCCAAAAAGTTGAATGTGAACTTCTGTACAGATCACAGGAGGTGGGAGAGTCTAAAACTGTAAGTCATTCAAGAGGGTGTGAGACAGAATCATAGATGAAAGTCTCCAAACAGGCCAGACAGCCAGGCGTGGGAACTGGGGGTTATCCTTCACCCCCATAGAATGGTGCCCCGCAAGGCAGCCACCTCCCATAAAACATTCCTTAAAGCACAGTAAAACAAATCTGGAAGGGATTATTTTGTTCATAAAATTCCACAACACATTCCACATTCTTATAATTAACCGAAATGACAACTATATGAAACAAATCCCAGTCACAGCAAAAATAATTAAATGAAAGTATGACCTGTTAGTGACCAGAGAATCTTAAAGCCTAACTTTAAAATATCAGCACTTTTGTCAAATCCTATGAAAACGCACCTATATATTAGGAATATCCCACATGGCTGAATATTTTTCATGAAATATCGAATATTTATAGAATTGAAGGCATTAGAATGTTCCAGAATGAAAATTCTTTTCTACCTAAAGATGTAAAGCTCTTTCAAAATAATAACTTCTTATGAAAAATGAAAATGATTCATATATTAGTTTCCATTTCGTTTTTTGAAAACATAAGGTTTTAAAAATCAAACTTATTATTTATTAGTAACAATGTTGCCATTTAAATGCTGCCTTGGCCGCAGCTACGAACATGCTTTATAAACAGATTTCTTCTCCATAAGGATTTCTCAGAATGGTACCAAAATGCCTCAGCTTTGTTTCATGATCACAGTTCAGAAAAAGGCAAACGTTTCTGTTTTAAAAAAAAAACAGTCTTGCAGTGTGAGAAACAAAAACACAATCTCCACGGCTGAACGATTCCTTAGCAAAACAGTTTTCAAAATGCTAACCTATGGTACTTGTGGCAGGGGCAAATGTCTCCTAACCTAAGATCCATATAAATAATTCAAAAGCAGCGTTGTTTAGTGTCCTGGTTATAAAGATCAGTTTCTCAGGTCTTCCCGTGTTGTGGTTCACCAGTTTCACTCCATGTCAGCTGCTGCTGGAAGTCTGAATATTTCACAATGTTACTTGTGAAAAGGCAACTTCCTCATTTCAGAGGAAGTCTGAGTTAGCCCGGAAGTTTCAGCTGCAACCAGAAGGACCACCCGCCTCCTCTAAACTCTTCCCTGCGCTTGGTTCCAGGGTGGCCGACAAGCTGCCGCGGCCCAACCTCCTGTTGCTCAGGCACCTGGTCTCCGTGCTGCACCTGATCAGCAAGAACTCCGAGGTCAGCAAGATGGACGCCAGCAACCTCGCCATCTGCGTGGGGCCCAACATGCTGACCCGGGAGAACGACCAAACCCTGTCCTTCGAGGCCCAGAGAGACTTGAACAACAAGGTGCGTTCCCGTCCCTTTCTGAGAAACTCTAAGTATACAATCACACCATCTGTGCGCAAGTCACAGTGATGAAACTCGGCCGAATCCCTCTGACTCGAAGGTGCAGTGACCACATGCAATAGGAATGTTTTGTCTCACTCCTCTCTGGAACGCCTGGGTTAACTGAGCTCACAGGCCTGGGCCGCGCCCTTTGTCAGCCTGCAGCACCGGGCTTGGTGCTGCCGCTTGTCGCACCCCAGTCTCCCAGGAGGCAAGAGTCCTTCCGTTTTTGTCCCTTGGGCCTCTCCCTGATGTGACTGTGTGGTTTGTGTCCAACCACTGATTTGAGAAGCTCCTTACTTAAGGGAAAAGACCTTTGTTACTTTAAAGCAAAAGTTCTTCATTCTCAAAGGGAAAAACACATGCCTTAAAGTAACTTTAAGATCAATTTTTTGTGTGTTCTTTTTAGACACAAAATTGCTTCTGTTCCTTTGGGCACCCTCCGAACAGCCGACCCCCACCAAGTCCCCTGTCCCTTTAAGAAAAATAGAGATGTGTTTAAGCTGACAACCCGCTCCTGTGTCCTCACAGGTTAAGGCTTTGGTGGAATTCCTCATCGACAACTGCTTTGAAATCTTCGGGGAGATCGTTCCGGCACATTCCAGCGTGGCTTCCCAGGAATCCCTGGAGCAGGTCGACAGCAGTTCAGGTACCGAACGCAGGGTCCGCTCCTGAGGGCTGCGTTCCATTGCGACGTGAAGTGTCTCTGGTATTTGGAGCACAGACCCCCTAAGGAGAGTGGACTCACCTGTAGGGAGGGCGCTAAACATGAACACTTCGCTCTCGAATCTTCCTTGACACCCTCTCAGGGTGCAGGCTTCTGCCTTCAGGCCGAGTCTGGAGCCCCCCCTCCCTACTAAGAGTCTTGAAGAAGTGCTCCTTTGACTGAGTCCACTTCAGCTAGAGGGGTGGGGTAAGAAACGTTTGTTTCTGCTAATGGAATGTAGGTCCATTAAAACGGAAATGGACCCAATAAAAGAGCCATTCGAAGGATCCATTTTTAAATTTGAGACCAATACACTTTCAGGGAAATGCTGTTTCCTGTTTCTCTCATCTCAATGTAGTGGCTTTTGAAAAAAAAACAAAAATTTAATGTGGCAAGCAACTTTTATTTCCAACCCCAAAGTTGCTCCGCCCACTTACCTGGTGCCACACCTGACACAGGTGGGAGAACTGCACGGCAGTTTGTTTCTAAAAGAATCGGAACGGAAAGCTCACCTGTCCTTTAACTTCCACAGACACGTCGACCCTGCAGAACGACTCGGCCTACGACAGCAACGACCCCGACGCGGACCCCAGCAGTGCCATCGGCTCTCCTGGCAGGCCGCCCGCAGTGCCCTCGGAGCCCAGAGGCCCGCAGCGCACCTGGCAGCTGCGCCGGGAGCCCGCCGTCAGCACTGTTTCCAGACTGAAGAGCAGCCTCAGTGAGCTGGACAGGAGGTACTCAGAGCCCAGCATGGCGTCCCTGCAGGGCCACCTCGGGGGCCCCGGAACTGACCCAAAACTGACCCGGAGCGAGGATGACTTCAGGCGGGCCCGGCCAGCCTCTCGTCCAGACAGCGAGGACGCTGAGGACCCGTTCCCAGAGGAGGTGTTCCCTGCAGTGGAAGGCAAAAACCAGAGGCCACAGGACCTGAGGATGAATAACTCAGCTCAGGGTTTGGGGTCGCCGCAGGGACCAGCGCCCAAGGTCCCCTCCAGTGGCTCTCTGGACACACCTCTGGACAGCTCGCCTGTGGCTTCCCCTTCCAGTCCTAAAAGAAACTTCTTTACCCGACATCAGTCTTTTACAAAGGCCGATAAAAGCAAGCCCAGCAGAGAAATCAAAAAGCACTCCATGTCGTTCTCCTTTGCCTCTCACAAGAAAGGGCTGAGCCGGACCCCCAGCTCAGCCTCTATCAAGTCCAAGTCCAGGGACCCGGCAGGGAAAGACTTCAAAAAAGAAAGCCAGCTCGCTGGGCGAATCATCCAGGAGAGCTTGTCCGAGGCCCACTGCCAGGCAGCTGTGGACTTTAGCTCGAGGACCTTTGCCCTGTCCGTGGAGGACGTGTTCCACCTGGTGGACCGGAGGCACCCGGGAAGCCCACCGTCCTACGAGGAGGCCGTGCGGGGCCAGGCCCTGGGCCTCACCGCCTTCGGGAGCCAGACAGTCGGCAGCATGAGGGCCAGGATGCTCAGCCTGGATGCCGGGCTGCCTCCTCACCAACCTTTTCCCCACGGAGGGGACTCGGGAAATCTGTGTGGCCAAGAGCCTCTTGCTAGGCACATACTGTCCGCCAGGACTGGGAGCTGGAAACAGAGCAGAGCTGTCTGCGCTTCTGGAGAAATGACAGGACAAGCGACCAGCACTGCGAGGCCCGAGCCTCCCCAGCTCACCCCTGTGTCCCTGTGCAGGCAGAAGAGTCAGTGGGAGTACCTGGCACAGCGCTGCAGTCAGCCGGCCTTTGAGGCCGACCCGCTGCCATATGCCAGGGAATCCTACATTTAGGAAGGCAGGCCGACTCCATGGCCCGGTCGTGGCTGCACACAGAACTGCGCCCAGACTGTTTTCAAAAAGTCGAGAATAAGCTCCCTTTGAGAGGTTGTGCAGAGCCCTCCTCAGAGACAGCAGCTGCCCAGAGGCCCTTGAGTCGGGTCTGTGTGTGCCTGGGTTTGTGCAACAGATTGTGCGTGTACAAAGTGTGTTCCGCCCAAGGCGCCGAGTGCAAAGGTATCTATGTAAATACGTGTACATATTTGTTTGTGAACTTGGCGTAAACTGCATTGCTCTCCTCTGCCTCCTGGGGCACTTTTCTACCAGTTAGTGTTTAAAAATATTGTTTTCTTTTCTCAGTGTTGTCTCCAATGGCAGGCCGATTTTCATGTTTTCCACAAGCTCCGTTTAAGGGGAAAAGGTATTAAGTCTCTGTTAGAAGTTGACTAAGCAACAGTCTGATAACAAAGCAACCACAGGAAGAAGAGAGAAACAGATGGCAAGCATTTGCTTACAGAGTTCAGGGTCCAGAACGGTCACAAACATTACGAACGCCGGTCAAACAGGAGGCCAGCCTGAGTGAAATGCTTGGGTAGGTCCTTCAATCACCTGATCGGTCCTTGGGGTGGACTAGAGAAAATGCATTACATCGGTACCAACTGATCTGTAGCACTTTGAGTTTCCTTATAGGTCAGGGATGTTTCTGCCGGTGGTGTGGAGGAAATCACTTTATATGCATTGGGTGTTGTACATAAAACTTCAATGTAATCTCACTACAATAAATCGTCCGCCTTTCTCAAAGTAAAAATGTTCAAAACGTTGCTTCCTTTCCCTTGGTTCATGGAGACCCACCAGGAAAATCATTCACACATCTATTCTTTCCACAAGCATGTACAGAGTGTGTGTGTGTGTGTGTGTGTGTGTGTGTGTGTGTTGTTTTAGACTAGCAGGCAGAGCTGGGTATCTCATGTTTAGGAAAAAAGACAATCTCTGTGGTTTCAATGTTTGCAAAACCATAAATATGTATCTGCATTTAGCCATTTTTCCAGCAAATGATCACTCAGAGGCCAGAAAATTTAGTATGTAAAACAGAGGAATGGGAATATATAACATATTACAGCAAATATAATGTTTCCTGGTTTTTGTGAATTAAACCTTTTGGTCCTTTTAAAAACCTTATTTCTATAATGCTCCATTTGTTCAATTATTAGCAGGGATAATGTTAGACTGTTTCTCATCTATCAGAACTTCAATGCCCATGGTCAAGGTATTTATCCAGCTCTTGAAAACACTTGGAGATTCTCCATATTTTATCAACTTCTCTCATAAAATGCTGTGTTTTTGATTTGCAAAAGAAATATTTTTGTGCTGGCTAGCTACTAGGTGGTGAAGACCTACTCTTTCAGAGGTGATACTAACAGTGTATTACTAAGTTAAAAACGTTGTAACTCAGATAGCTCCAGGCAGCACATTCAGACCCAATAAAATCTCTAAAAGTACTTAACTGAGCACCTCCACTAGTGTATAAATTTAAGGGCAGACACTCCCCCTCTGACAGCTGACATAGGAAGAGCAGTCCTTTCCCAGAGTTGGATACTGACAGTTATGGTCACAGTTTTCAGCAAGTCTCACGTGGCCAGGCTGTACTAAGTATTTCAGGACCGAAAAGGAAAAGTCCCACCTCATTTTCAGCAACGTCTCACTGCGAACCTGCGATTTTTCGCCAATAACTTCCATGTGCTGGAAGCCTCACATCGATCCCAGTCTGCCATCGACCTGACATCCACGTGACCCAACCCGGACCTCAAAAACCCTGCCCCAAATGTCCTTATTTTAAAAAAGCAGGATTAGCCTGGCAGTCTCCTCCCTACGACAGGCAAGTAGGACAGTTCGCGGCAGACGTCCATGCGAGTCTTGCAGTCCAGTGAATGGGGTGGTTGTTCCCGGGTTTGAACAGTGCAGGAAAGGGTTTCAGACACCGCAGCGTGGTCTTCCCACTTCTCTGCACAGCACCCCAGCCTCTGAAAACAGGGTGCCCAGTCTGCTTGCCAAGCGAGGGAGTCGGCTGAGGCTGCTCCAAACAAGTGCCTCGAACAGCAGAAACGTGCTGACCCCAGTTGCAGAGGCTGAAACAGAAACCAACGGGTTGGCAAGGCCGGTTCCCTCTTGGGGCGCGGGGGGAGGATCTGTCCTGGGCCCCTCCCCTTGGCTGGTGCGTGGTTGTCCCCCCGTGGCTCTTCAAACGGCCTTCTCTCTACATGTGTCTGTCCCCAAAGTTCCCTTTCTCACAGGGACACCAGTCACATTGGACTGGGACCCACTCCAGTGACCTCATTTTATCTCTTTAGGTCACACTGTGAGATTCGAGGAGTTAGGACTTCAACAGACAAATCTGCAGGGGGTGGGGGGGAGGGTGGGCAACACGATTCAGCCCACAATATCATGGGATAGTCCCCTTAACGACACCTTGGTCACACCGACAATTTTTCACACTTGGCCATGAACAGAGGGCCACGCTTACAGTGAGAACTGGATGACATGAGAATGACACTTCCATCGAGGACCAGGAGCACAAGAGGTCTGCCCCCCCAGGACCCCCCTCAGGGACATAAGTCACAAATGGGACCATCACCAAGGTCCCAATGCCAAAGCCAGGTGCGTGGTAAAACCAGCCCGGAAGTCAAGGCCTAAGGAGGAGCTTCCGCCTAAATCCGGAACTGACCCCCCAGCCTCCGACTCCCTGGCCCTCCCCAGGCCCCCGGCATTACCTGCCTGGGCCTACCTGGCTTAGGAGGACCCGGGCCCCTTTCACCAAGTGAGAGACAGGAAGCACGTCAGTGAAGGTGCCCACTTGGCAAACCCCAGCATTCAACGTCTTGGAGTCTGACAGACAGTTTCCTCCTCCTGGGAAGGTAAGACGTTTTCTCTCCTCCTACAAAGAGGGGGAGGGGTGGGCTGCCCCGTGCTGTGCCCCGCATCCCACAGGACACTCTGTGACACACTGTGACTACCTGCATGACACGCTGCACCCACCGCCCCCCACCTGGCACCGTCCAGGACTGGGTCCAGAAATGCTGACTTGTGGATGTGACCAGGGTGGGGGGTCTGTGCCAGAGCTGAGCAGGAACCGTAGTGGCTCCAAAGCCCAAACTCAGCAAGTACAACACTGATGTGACACCGGGGTCCCTGGGCTTGTCGTGCTAATTAAACGAATCAGTGAAGGGCCACAGCGCTTCCTGTGTCCATGGATGAGAAGCGCCAAAGGGTGGTAAATACTGTTGATTCTAAGGCCGATTAAAAGAATAAACTCCAGCTGAATTTTCCTGACTGTCATCGCCCTGGAAGGACCGCCGGCACCTGCCTTCCTCCTCAAGGGTCCAGGAGACAGAAACCCACGTCAGGTGGGATCTCACGTAGTTGGAGTTTTTTCATTGAATTGTGTAAGAGCTTAACTCTCTCCCTGCTAAGGGCGGTGTACTGAGGAGTCAGAGTACAAGCATTTTGCTAGAGATAGAAACAAATCACTTTCTGGCCGTAGTTTAACTGTAGACTAAAGACCCTGCATTGTGTCCCCTCTTGGGTACAAATTACGTGTGAAGGAGGAGAGGCCACTGGGGTGACGGGCTGCCCTCCTCCTAGTAGAGACTATGGGGAAGAGGCAGGGTGAGACGCCCAAGGAACGCAGGACAGTGACATCTCTGTAGGAAAAGAAAGTCAATGTGTTGGCGCAAGACAGAGATGAGACCCAAATTCACAGGACCTGAGTCCGCACCCTACACGTGATACTGTGGGTCAGGTACCCAAGTGCCTGAGCCCCAGTTTCTCCAACCATAAAATGGGGGGAATCGTAGCCCTGCATCGGGGCTGGCACAGTGGCTCCCTGACATCCTCCGTCCGGCCCCTGCTTCCTGCCCGACCAGGGCCAGCCAGGGTGCACGACCCGCACTTAGGAGGGCCCAGCGCCGGGGCTAATACTCTGCTGCTACAACACCTGTTCACTTTGCCCCGCCCCCCTGCAAATGACATAACGAGTCTTGTTCACGCCGCCTGCCCTTCTAGCCCAGCGTCCTTCCTGTGAGCATGCGTCTCTTCCTCCTGCCCTGCCTCCAAATTCCAGGCAGGAACTTTCTTGCTCAATAACTCCGACCTGCATCCCAGCAGCCAGACTTAGTCACATGGCTACCCTTACCTGCTGAAGAGTCTCGGAAATACAATGTTGTCAGAGGCCCATCGCCTCCCCCACCCCAACCAGTCAGTGAGAGAAAAGGGAACAATGATAGGGAGGAGGACTTTCAGCCCTTGACACGAGAATCAAGTAAGAGAGACCATGGATACAGTGGAAGGTGCACTAACACAGTTCCTTTCGTAACAGAAAGCAGGAGAAAGCACAGACTGTCTACTCAGTGTAATGAGACAAGGGAACGTGTGGACTGCGATGCAGGAAACATAAACATGAGGCAGGTCATGTAAAGATAAAGCAGATAATAATCTCAAAGTATTTCAATGATTCACATGCACATTGTGAGGATTTTATAATGACAACTGAGTAGTTTTCAGTAAAATCACTTAGCAAATGACCTCCTACAATATAAAAGGTATTGTACTTGCAGAAGGCATTTACAATCTAGTAGATAAGACACCCTTGGAGGCAAAGGTGAGTTCAAGATTAGTGGGGACGATGTGAAGAGCACAGTAGAAATGATTTCTTCATGGTAGAATTGAGTTTAGGAAGTTTTTCCAACTTAACGGAGCTTCTGTATGAAATCCCAGGGTCAGTGAAGAACTCGTTTCACCAAAGGCCACGAGGCATCGAGACGGTCACAAGACGTCCCGGATGGGCGTTCATTTGGTTCATTAAACCGCATCACCATCGAGAAGGAAATAAATAAGACTTTTTCCCCCTTTGTTTGCTGAAAAAGGTATTTCTTTTTTTTTTAAGATTTTATTTATTTATCTTTAGAGAGGAAGGGAAGGAGAGAAGGAGAGAAATATCAATGTATGGTTGCCTCTCATTAGTCCCCTGCTGGGAACTGGCCTGCAACCCAGGCATGTGCCCTGACTGGGAATCAAACTGCAATCAAGTGGTTTGCAGGCCTGTGCTCAATCCACTGAGCTACACCAGCCAGGGCTGAAAAAGGTATTTCTTATCCAAAAGTGTTTTTGGAGACTACCAAATATTACCTAACTATTAAAAAGTGGAATGGTCCCCTCTTTAAAACAACACTCACATCTTGTTACTTTCTTACCAAAGAAGTCCAAGGGCTTCCTGATGCCATTTTTATCAAGTCTAAAATTCTTTGCCAGCCACTTACCACTCAAGGCTCACCTTAATGTAGCCCCATCCCAGGTAACCAAACTTTAAATCATAATGAGGGGAACAGCTAACACTGCCTTTTAGAACCTGAGACATGGCTAAGGCAGCGTTCAGATGAAAACTCATGTATTTGGTTACCGATCTCCAGCCAGCGCGCCACGAGAATTTTAAAAATATGTCATATCCAGCTCCTTACTCAAGGGCACTGACCCTTTTTCCTTTCGACTGTCAAATTTTAAAAAGTGACAACAGCCAACACCACAATCGCCCTCCAGTGTTAATGCATGAAAATTACACCTAGTTTTGTCAGATCAGCAAAAAAATATGGTTTTTGATGTGCCACAGAATTTCAGTAATTAGTTTATGTGTGCCATGAGATTTTTAAAAAGGTCAAAAGCCACTGCCTTGTTTGATTATATTAATAAACAAAAATAAAAATGAATGAATTTAGCGCATTAGTCATGAGGTTAGGAAAGGGAGAATGAAAATAAAGTTGAAATTAATAATTTCAAAACAAAAAAGTAGAACTTATCGATAAAATCAAAGCTGGCTCCATGAAAACAAACTTCTGCCCAATCTGAGCAAGGAAAAGAGAGAAACTGAAAACACGTGACATGAGAAACGATCATGGAAATTCACAGCAGAAACTGAAAAATCAGAGGGCTCCTTTGCTCGACTCCAGGCACATGCACTTGAAAATGTGCATGAGATGATCATTTCTCTAGAAAAATACAATTTACCGACCTAATTCCAGAAGAAGGAGAACATCTGAACAGGTGTATATCATGTAAGAAACAGAGAAAGTCACCAAAGACTTTCTAGCCAACCCTCCCCAGACGGCCAAGTGGGTTCACAGGGACGTCTCCCATCTTTAAAGAGCAGGCCATTGCAATGCGGTGTAACCTTCCTAGACCAAAGGAAAACTACAAATATATTTGTAAGGCAAGTATAATACTGCTACCGAAACACAGCAACAATTCCACACATACAGAAAACGAAACTACGGGTCAATTTTATGAATATCAATGTAAAACCCTAAATAAAATATGAGTAGGTGGAATGTATGAAGTTAGTGTGGGAATGCAAGTGTGAGTCAACGCAGGAAATTTACTAACGAAATTCATCATTTCAGTAAAACTCGTAGGGAAAATGTAATCAGCTCCACACATCCTAAAAAGCACCTGT